TATCTCTGTGAGCACTCAAGGCTGAGACACACTGCCCAAGACTGAGAACAAAAGAACACCCGGCTGGCCTGGCTGTCGTGGCTCAGTGGTTGAGCATCGACCTATGAACCAGGCGGTCACCATGCAATTCCCGTCAGGGCACGTGCCCGGGTTGCAGGCTCGAATGATTATCTCTCATCATCGATGTTTCTATCTCTCTCTCCCTCTCTGAAATCAATAAAACCATATTAAAAAATAAATAAAAAGAATACCACTGTCCAACATTTAAGACACCCTAGCAGGCCACCTCTACTGCAGGTAGGAATCACGTGCCCCCTGACCCCCCACACTCACACAAACATAGAAATACTTCCCTGTGCACCTGCCTCCTTCTCCACCTCCCATCACAGCCCAGATCCCCTTAGCCTCACATTTTCTCTAGTCACACCGATATTTTAATCTTAAAATGCAACAAGCAATTTCTTCCTTGATGAATTGCTCTCTCTACCCCGCCCTCTAACCTCACTCTGAAGTAACTTCCTAATTCTCTTTGACAAGACAGTTTACTCTTGATGAGGATTAAAGGTTATTTTTAGCTAGAACCGAGCACAAGGAAATGATGCAATAACTTCTTTGAACTGGCGGGATGGTTCCTTTTTTTTTTTTTTTTTTGGTCTTTGATTTCATATGATTGTGAACTTGAAGTAGTTGTTTCTGGCCTTGCTGAGTAATTTTGTAATCACAGGGTAAAGTCCCTGTCTTCCAATGGACAGGGCTCCTTAGTAGGGATTGGTTCCTAAATGCCTGCATTTTTATCAGAGGTAGACCACAGTGATGGAAATCAGCGTGATTGTAATTCATCATGCACCATCCTGAAGAGCTCCTGGCTCCCTACTGACCTTCGCACCCTGCTTATCCCTTTCACGAAGCTGCTCCAATAGTGGCAGAAAAGTACTGAAATCATCCATCAGGGCTGTTTCAATAGGTATCAAGTTGTCCCCTGTCCCTCCAAATCTCTTGTCTAAATAGCACCTAGGTATTTCTTAATCATCACTATTTTTCAACTACTTGTCCTTTTTCAAAAAATATATTTTTGTTGATTTCAGATAGAAAGGGAGAGGGAGAGATAGAAACACCCATGATGAGAAAGAATCATCAATCAGCTGCCTCCTGCACACCCCCTACTGGGGATCGAGCCCACAACCCAGGCATGTGCCCCAAATGGGAATTGAACCATGACCTCTTGGGCCATAGGTCGATGCTCAGCCCCTGAGTCATACGGGTCGGCCACTATTTGTCATTGAAGTCCATATGTCTTCATCAGGGTTTCTCAACCTCAGCACTATTGAAATTTGGGGCCAGATAATTCTGTGTTGTGGGGCTGTGTATGCATCCTGGCATGGTTAGCAGCATCCCCAGCCTCTACCCACAAGATGCCAGGAATACCCCTCCCCACTTACGACAACCAACAATGTCCTCAGACAGCACCCCATGTCCTGCAGGAGGAACCTGCCCCCGGTGGAGAACCACTGGCCTGTGTGCTGCTTTAAATTACAAGTTCCTTTCGGATCAGAACTACCCTATGGCGTACAGATGTCCCCACAGGAAGGTGCTCAGAGGAGGCTGTTCAATCATGACCACAATCACTAAAAATGTAACCGGCATTTTGGGCTCACATCGAAAGGAAAGGAATGATTTAAACAGATGATGGTGTCAACAGTGGATAACGTGTCTTATTCAGCCTTCCGGTCTAATCCATAAGATTGAAACAAAACTTAGCTCTCTCTTATTAAGCACACAGAGGAATTGAGATTTTGTAGGAATGACTTCATCACCTCATCATTAAACTGCTCCCACAAAACAAGGTGAAAGGCAGGTCACCTGACCTCCCCCCCTCCCCCCCACCCCGCTACCCCCCCCCCCCCCTGCCCGCCTCAGAGGGAAGCCTCGGCCGGGGTGCGTTTCTTCACAGTTACTCTTCTGCGAGGCAGGGAGACAGGGCAGCACCTCATCCGTTCTCGGGAGCTGACCCTTGTCCAGTATTTCAAGTATATTTCATGGGTGAAAAAGCGAGAGATAGATATGATCTGATCTATCGTTATTCCTGCTGCTGTTATTCATCCACTCAAGAGGCATTAAACTGCTGGAGAAGAATGATCTCTTTATAGCCCTCTCTCCAGGCGAAAGAACAAAACCTTTTATCGGTTAATCTGATGAATTACATGGGTTATTTTTATTCTATTCATAAGAGGCCAGGCATGTAGGTCCTGCTTGTTCTTACATGCATTGGTTCACAATTCAATTAAACAAATATTTATTGAAACCGTGGGCCAGGAGGCTCTGATAGTCACCAGCCACCGCAGTGGGAATACCCAGATAAGCGAAAGACGAGCGTCTGCCCTCAGAGAGTTTCCATTTTTCACTTCGGTGACAATTGGTTGTGTATTTGTATTCTGTCCCCATTCATAGCTGACTCTGTGAAGGCCCCACGCTGCACACTCTGGGAGAGGTTTTAGAAATCTGATTGTGGTTTTAAGGCCTGAGCACCCACAGATGACAAGAGATCAAGAAAAATTGTTGTGGGGAACATGGCTTTTAAAACATTAATGGTGAGCATTTTCCCTGAGTATAAAACTAATGCATGTTTCTAGTTGTGTTTATAAAAATACAGAGAAGGAGCAAAGCCCCAGGGGAAATGGTCTCCCATAAGCAGTGGAAGGTTTGTGCAAAGGTGCAGGGCCTGGCGTGCTGGGGAGCCGGTGGGGGAGCCTGAGGAGCTATGGAGGAACACGAGGCGGGGGGGCCTGCATGTCAGCCCTAATCAGGAGGGCAATGGGGAGCCATTGATGGTTCAGTGTCCTGAGCATGGCCTCCTTTCATCCTCATAAGAACCCTGTGTGGCCGCCATGCTCCTGCTCTCTTTTCGGGTGTGGAGCTGAAGGATTTAAGGTGGGCAATCACCTGCCCACGGTCATTCAGCTAGTCGATGGGAGAGGTGGGCACTCCACAATCCCAGGCTCCTCGTTCAGAGTGGGAATTGAGTGGGGCAAGAAGAGGACTGCGATTTAGCCCATCATGACCCTAGCGATGGCAGCTGTGCCTTGACGCAATGGCATGGATCCAAGGATGGCACAGGCGCAGGCAAAGGCTCCCACCTCCTTGTAGAGAAAAGACCCATATACAGCCCAGAGGCAGCTACCCAGAGCAGGCGGCTCAGCAGTGCCTTTGGTGGTGGCTCTTCCCTGACCTTCGGGCACCTGCAGGGCACACCACTGCCACGGTACCACCTGCCTGAGGTCAAGATCCCTTCCGGAGCGTTGAGCAGCATCCTTGGCACTTTTCATGGGGACTTTGTACCACTGACCCATTCCAACTGCCCTGAGTCACCTGGCTGAGAGCCAGACTGCTCACCAGGTGTGAGGGAACGGAGCTCAGCACAGCCCTGAGAGGCTCCGGGATGTGTCCCCAGGCTACCAGGCCCCTGGAAGACCCAGGCCAAGAAAGGGCAACGTGTCAAAGTACATTCATGAACGTGAATGGGATTGATGGTGTCTGATGCCACAGAAAGGGGACCATGCACAGGGCTGGGACGCGCACAGAGTTACTGGGAACCCGAGGAAGCACTCAGAAAGGTGGTGGGAAAAGCTGGGTGGCTCAGGGTTACAGCGGGAAGGACCCAGAACTGCATGAATGCGGTCCCCTCCTAGCTGGCTGCTGATGAGGAGGAGGGGAGAGAGGAGAGGTGGTAGTGGGGTCAGGAGGGTTTGCTCAGGGCCAGGTGAGGTATAAACTTTTCTCCTTCAATGGCAACTGGCAAACACATTTCCTGTGCCTCGTAGATGCCAGGCACTGTCCTTGTGCCAGAGATACAGCCATGTAAAGAACCCGCAAAACTCCTGTCCTCGTGCAGCTTCTGTTTGGGGCAGGGGTTCGAAAGGGGTGATGGGAAACAAGCATGAAAACAAACGCACAGTCCTAGCCGGTTTGGCTCAATGGATAGAGCGACAGACTGCAAACTGAAGGGTCCTGGGTTCGATTCTGGTCAAGGGCACATGCCCCTGTTGCAGACTTGATCCCCAGGAGGCAGCCAATCAGTGATTCTCTCTCATCATTGATGTTTCTATCTCTCCCTCTCCCTTCCTCTCTGAAATCAATAAAAAATATTTCTAAAAAAGAAAAGAAACACATAAATGTAAATAAGATCATTTCAGATGATGATGCGAACATGTCAATGACATATCAGTGAACAAGTAGATGGATGCAGTCAGATAGAGGTTGGCTGAGTTTGGGGGGAGGGGTGCTCAGGCAAGGCCTCCCTAAGAGGTGACATCTGAGAGGAAGTCTCGGCAGCGAGAAGGAACTAGCCGTGCAGTTTCTGACAGAGGGGACAGCGAGTTCGCAGGCCCTGTGGCAGGTACCAGTACAAGGAACAAAAGGGCCAGTGTGTGAAGCACAGGAAGCAAGGGGGCGGGAGGCGGGGCAGGAGATGGGAGCCAGCACCAGGTTCCCATGGGCCTCAGGCCACGGAGCCACTTGGGTTTAAGCTCTGATGGCCGTGTCCAGCCAATGGGAGGTCTGAAGCTAAGGGCTCGTGGATGTGTTTTTAAAAGAGGACCTTGGCTACTGAGTGGCAAAAGGACTCCAGGGGCAAGAGTGAAAGTGAAAGTCGCTGGGGACCTCCCAGAGGTCCGGATGAGAGACGATGGACCAGGGTGGCCGCTGGGGAGGAGAGTATTGTGGATGCCGAGTCCACAGCCCCTGCGGATGAACTGGATGCGGGGAGCGCGGGGGAGGGGAATGGAGGCTGAGTCCTCGGGCCCCTGGCTGAGCACCCAGGTGACTGGTGGTGCAATTTCCTGAGATGAGAAGACTGGAGGAGGAGTTTGGGCGAGTGGAGAGAAACAGCTTCAGATTCGGACAAGTGAACTTTGAGATACAGTATGTCGGAGGAGATTTGAAATAGACAACTGGTAGAAGCCGGGCCAGGAATACAGATTTGGGGGTCATTAAACAGAATTACCATGCTCGCTTCGGCAGCACATATACTAAAATTGGAACGATACAGAGATGAGTATGGCTCCTGTGCAAGGATGACTCACAAATTCATGAGGCTTTCCGTATTTTCTAAGCTGGCAGTCGGACATCCCCCGAGGGCTCTGACTGCAAGAGGGCGCAGGCTGGGCTGAGGGACCCCCTCTCCCCCAGTGCATGAATTTTGTGCACCGGGCCTCTAGTAAATTTAATAAAAATTAAATTCAGTTAACTTTTAAAGATATACATAAAATTACCATGTGACCCAGAAATTTCACTCCCAGGTATAGACCCCCCAAAAAACTGCAAACAGATATTCAAACAAAAATTTGTACACAAATACTCATAGCAGCATTATTTAAAGTAGCAAATGGTGGAAACAACCAATCTCTACCAATGGATAAGTGGATAAACACAATGTGGATTAACCACACTGCGGAATATTATTCAGCCATGAAAAGGAACGAAGTACCGATATACGCGCCAGCATGGATGAACTGTGGGATCGTTGCGCTAAGTGAATGATCCCATTTATCTGGAACATTTAGAATAAGCAAATCCACAGAGACAGAGAGCAGATTAGTGGTTGCCAGGGGCTAGGAAAAAAGGGGAGTGGGAAGAGGCTACTGTGAATGGGTATGGGTTTCCTTTGGGGTGATGAGAATGTACCTGGATGGAGACAGACGTGGTGGTTGCACAACAATGTGAATGTACTAAATCAGATACTTTAAAACAGTGAAATTTATATGAATCGATTTTTTAAAATATATTTTATTGATTTTTTACAGAGAGGAAGGGAGAAGGAGAGTTAGAAACATCAATGAGAGAGAAAGATCAATCAGCTGCCTCCTGCACACTCCCTACTGGGTATGTGCCCGCAACCAAGGTACATGCCCTTGACCAGAATCAAACTTGGGACCCTTGAGTCCACAGGCCGACGCTCTATCCACTGAGCCAAACTGGTTATGGCTTAATAGATATTTTATCACTTAACAAAAAAAAAAATAGGCATTGGGATTGGATAGTATATGATCTAAGGAGAGGAGGTTGATGGAGAGAGTCCCGAATGAGCCCAGAGCACCCCGGGTAGGCAGAGCAGGGTGAGCCAGCAAAGGAGGCTCAAAGGGCGGGAACTACGCCGTAGGAGGAAATACAGGAACGTTGCTGTCCTAGAACCCAAATGAGAAACATGTTCCAAGGAGAGAAGAGTGACCGTCTTGTCAAAGAGCGACGATGTGTGCATTGCGGGTGGGTGCTGCCAGATTTGCCCACGCGGAGTGGAACCATTTTGCACTCTCATCAGCCTGCAGGAAGGGGCTCATTTCCCCACAGTCCTGCCAGCAGATCGTGTGGTCAACATGTTTGCCAATCGCAGAGGCGAGAAATGGGTCTCAGGGTGGTTTTCACCTGCAATCCTCTTATGGAGAGTGAGGCCGAGCATCTTCTCAGGCATTCAAGGCCCACGTGTGTCTTTCTTGCCTCTTTCTTTCCTCCAGACTCGCTATTCCAGATCCCAGGGCAAGCGGGTTTTTAATGCTCTGACAATAATGATACTTCAACTGGCAACGATTTAAAGATCCTTGGTCAGTCAGAAGTGTTGCCTGCCAGAGGTTTTACGTGGCCACAGACAACGTTTTCAATAAAAATACAAAGAAACAAGAAAAAGAACTAAACAAAGAGAATGGGACGTCCACCCATGTTTCTATTGCCCTGTGTTGGAAAGAACGCATGTGTCCTCTGATTCCATTTCAAGTCTTTCATTGCGGTCGTTTGGTTTGGTGCTTTCTGATGGATGCCGCCTACTTGCATGGAATCATTATGAAGTTTCCAAAGAAAGTTCTTTGTAATGCTTTCAGAAGGAAATTGAGAGGAAAATAAACTGAACTGAGGTATGGAAACAGAGCTGGGGAGTTCAAAAAATAAATAAAAAGCAAGAAAACTATTTGCTCATCACAAATGAAGCTAAAAAATATAGCTGCACAAACAGATGACTAAATAATACTCAGGCTCCTCTTTACATAAGATTTTTCTACCAAACTGATATCACCCTTAGAAACACTGAGATGTGACATTTTTTAAAAATATAGTTTCATATACATCCAGCACATGCACAGCAGATATATCTGCAAGGGGTTGGCATCGCTGCATGTAGAGTGAACATAGTAAGAGAGGATCTCGGATTTTTCCTACTTGGGCTTCTGGTTCCATATTTAGTTCCTGTTTGCTTTCAATATGACTTGCACAGCATAGTGGTTAAGCAATCATATGCTTTACAAAGTGTTCCCCCGATTCTTCCCAGTACCCACCTGGCACCATACATAGTTACTCCTATCTTATTGGCTATATTCCCCATGCTGTACTCTACGTCCCTATTCTGTAACTACCAACTTGTACTTCTTAATCCCTTTACCTCTGACACCCAGTCTCCCAAGGTGCCTCCCTCTGGCAACCACAAGTCCACTCTCTGTGTCTAGGCGTCTGTAAGCCATTGTTAATACCAAATGGCAAGATGAGTCATCAGACTGAGTTCTTGGACTTTAATCAGGTGAGGTTTGGGGTTTTTTTGTGAGGTTTTGTTTCTTTGGGTTGGTTTTGCTTGTTTTTTGGCATAAATGTCAGGCTCACTTAGTCCATGACCACATTCAGGTTGAACTGTTATCAGCTCTGTCCTTTATGGCTACTGACGACAATTAGATATGCAACTTAAGGATGTACAGAATCAGGATGTTCATGAGCTTCAGACTCTATATAGTAACTCTAAATCTATATACTGAAGGGAGTGATTTCTTAGTCAAACCTCTGCTAGCCGATTCTGTAGGCTCTAAATCACCCTCCCAATCAAAATCATTACTTTAAGGTCACAAAAATCCTGTTTTTCAACTACTCTAGATGACTGAGCGCCTGGTTTTACCTTACCTCGAAGACCAGCTTTGTTCTTAAGTGTTAAACGTTTATTGTATCTCCCCTGCCCAGTTAGTTGCTGTCTGTCACACTAATTCTAGCTCAGGGAACAGCGGTGGACAGCAACTCTGAGATGTCTACACAATTGCTGAAAAGAGGTCTCTACAACAACTAAGTGGACTGGCAGATTTTTCTCCTCCTGGCATTTTGAATTATTAAAGTGAACCTGGATTTTTCTATTCCATTTGCAAGAAAACAGTTGAGTTCTTGGTTTCTAATGAAAGCTATAAAAGAGCAGTCTATGTATCCCTACCTTAAGCCCATACCTAACAGAGATATGCCTCACACCACCCCACCCTTCTCCCCACCGCTGTGCTGAGACCCAGGCTACTTCCTCAGCACACGTGGAAACCTGACCCGACCACAGTCAGCCTGTGGCATTCACGGCTTTGTGACAGACGGCAACCCTTCAACACACTTGACTTGTTCTCACCAGGGTCTGGATGCCATTTGGGGGTGGGGGTGGGGGCGGGGCATCTTCAGTGTGAGATAAGCCAAGTCACCATGCATGCCCTTTGTCCCAGAAGACTTATAACAACTACAGCACATGTGAGCTACAGGTGACTAAAAAATGTGCCTAAGGTGGCCGGCTTTCTCACGCAGAGTAACACCTTGCTATGGGCTGAGGTGTGTCTCTCAAAAACATGTGCTGGAGTCCTAACCTTCAGCACCTCAGAAGGTGACCTTACTTGGAGAGAGGGTCTCTTTTTAAATTTATCTTTATTGTTGAAAGTGTTAAAGATGTCCCCTTTGCCCCATTGACCCCTTCTAGCCCACCCCCCCACCCCCACCCCAGGCCTTCACCACACTACTGTCCGTGTCCATGGGTTATGCATATATGCATATAAGTTCTTTAGTCAATCACTTTCCACCCAGTCTTTATAGAAGCAATCAGGATAAAATAAAGACATTAAGGCAGATTCTGTTTCCAATATGGCTAGTGTCTTTGTAAAAAGAAAAAATTTGGACGCACAGATAGACATGCAGAGAGGGAAAGATGGCCATCTACAAGCCAAGGAGAGAGGCCTGGAATAAATCAGTCCCTCTCAGTCTCATAAGAAACCAACTCACTCACACCTCATTGACCCAGCACTAAACCCCTCACACTTTGCTTATCTCCCATGAAAGATGCCCCTACACACCCCCAAATGGCATCCAGAATGGAACAGTCCATATAAATTCCCTTTCTACATAATATGTGTCCTACAAAATAACAAGTTCCCAAATTGTCATACTACTTTTTAATATATATATTTTTATTGATTTCAGAGAGGGAGGAAGAGGGAGAGAGAAACATCCATGATGAGAGAGAATCATTGATCGGCTGCCTCCTGCAGGCCCCCCACTGGGGATGGAGCCCGAAACCCCAGCATGTGCCCTCACTGGGAATCGAATGGTGACTCCTGGTTCATAAGTTGATGCTCAACCACTGAGCCACGTCGGCCAAGCTCATACCACTATTTTTTAATACAAACATTTCTAAATGCACACTCTGTGTTCTTAAGCTGAGGATAGTGAACATCCTCGGAACCTTTCTTGGTGACACAGGAACCATGAGTGACGGCAAGGGACAGTACACTGTGCCTCTGGAGGAAATGGCCTGACTGGCTTCCCTGTTTTCTCCTCTAATAGGAAGTTCCCGGACGACCCCTGGGCCCCCTGCCTCGCCCTCGTTCCTTCCCTCCAATATGCATCTCCTAATCTGTTGTGAAAAACCAGAAACCGGACAAACAAGGCATTGCAACTGTTTCTGAAATAAAATTAATAGCTCCAAGTTAGGGTCTGAAAGACTCTCCTAGGGATTAAACCACATGGACTTGGAGAAAGCTCTTTTGTTGTCTTCTTTCCTTTCCCTCCTCAGGGGGAGAGGTGGTCAGACCCTTGTACTCGGGGTAACTTAAATGTCTTTGCTACAGTGACACAAAGCAGGTCACATGAGACTCTTCTGGCCTCCTCGACATGTTATGAATTTGTACCATAAGAAGCAGCAGCTTGGATCAATTATAGCTCAGGGAAAAAAAAACTTCTCTATTAAGAGCCCAATGGGGCTTTGTTTCGCCATTGTTGCTCATTTATTTGGAATATGGTTATACCATAGGGTAGAACTCTCTAGAATGACCTTTCCATGATGTA